CCGTAGTTTGATTTCCACTTATTGCATTTAGTCATCTTCTCATTATGTCTCAAAGTATCCGTGTCAGGGATCGCCGCGGCGCTGGTCCCGGCGAAGGCACAGTGAGCCGCCTCGCACGGGGATGCGGGAACTAGGTCCGGGCCAGCCGTGGCGGCGAACTCGCGCATGCGCACTGAGTGACACGGGTGCGCGCCGGGCACCAATGACAGCGCAGGGCACGGTATTTAAATTGCCCTGAGCTGTCACTGGTTGCCGTTTGGTCCCTTTCTGTTCCCTGATCTGTGTACCTGTATTTTGGATAAGTTGCTGACTCGGATTGCTTTGACATTGCTGTACTCTCCTGCCCTGACCCTTGGCTTGCCTGACCTCTCTCCTGGATGCCCCCTGTTTGTTCTGATCTACTGTTGCTGACCTGGCGTGTGACCCGACTATTCTCTGCCCGCTGTTTTGTACCTCGCAGACCCCACGGTTCCCGACCCGGCTTGTTTGACCCTGCACCTGCTCAGCCATCCATCCCGTCGGGATCACCCGACCTCCTCACATCAGGCTCTTGCTCTGCGGGAGCCCTCGGCGGATACCTCTACCATTGGTGGGTGTGCCCAGTAGTCGCGACCTGGTCTCGGAGCGCTCCAAGTCCATCCCCACCATCAGGGGCCCTGGTGAACAAGTGCTTTGGGACTTAGACTCCGCGCTCTGGAAGCACCTGACCAGTGGATTGCTAGAGGTACCGCCGGGCGGTCCCTTACAACCCGTATGATTATTCTTCATTCAAGACTGCCCTATGAAATAGTGGGTTTTGTGAGTGGGGGCGGTGGTGGACTTTTCCTTTATTGTATCCTACCTGGTTATTTGACACACTGTCTGGAACCTTTGTTCTTCATATACTATAGGGCATTTGTTCTATAGACTTTGAGTTGATATGGTATAGTCCTTTTAATGGCACGTGTTTACCTACTTGTATTGCTTCCTTCTTTCTTGTATTTTATGCAAAATTTCAATAAACATTATTTTACAAGAAAAGTACTCTAAGAATGGAGGAGGTGAACCTTTCATCCACCCGTCCTGCATTCATAGAGTAATTTTCATTGTGGGAATCAATAGTACATCTTCTTTGAATGGAGGAGGGGTTAGAAAGGGCAGGCATAGTCCACATTACTGATGAAAGTCTGTGATAGGTGCAGCTGCTCATATTAACCCCCTGCATCACAGCTGGGGGGCAGAGGAATGAATATTTCATGTAATACAGCAGCCATGAGCACAAGGGACACTTTTCATTCAATCACTGAAAGTACTGTAAGTGAAAAAATTGTCAGACTTGACTCTTGGCGCTCAGAAATGGACACATTCAATCTAAGTGTGATCCCATGGACCTTTCACAACCAGGACTGGAAAGAAATGGCGGTGCAGCTCTTCTCAGACTGGGGAAATCCAACACTGCACAGGAACATAAAAAAAAAGAGGGCGCAAAACCCTAAAAACAATTTATTAAAAAATATAAGAGACAAAGGTAATACTCACAAACCAAGTGATCAATTTGCAAAAACATATAATGTAGACTACTCTCCACCTCCAACTGGAGACAAGGTGGTGGTTTTGGGGACCCTGTCCCTCAGACCAAAGGCTGATGTCCTACAGAACTCAAACTCCTTAAATAAGATGTGTGAATCCCATAGTCCACCTGCCATCAGGGGTGGGGAGAAAGGGGAGGGAGTTTTTTTTAAAGGGGACACAGACTTATATTCATACTCTATGCATATAGATAGTAAGAACGTGCAAACATGTCATCAGTTCATGGATAGGCAACCTGACCACCGCAGGTAAAATAGACAGAATAAAAATAAAATTTAAATATAATTATACTTAGGTAAAAATGCATATCATTAATAAAAACCCAAGTATATAAATATACATGTGTAAAGATGGCCTACGTAATGGTATATTATATTAGCAGCCTTATTGACATCATCAAAGTGACTAAAAAATTGAATTGCTGATCTGTCCCTCCGTTCCCAGCCAATAATTGCTCACCCTCATTGTGTGGGGACTGGACAGTGATGATCTTTAAGGGCACCCCATGGAGTAGATTATGAACGTCACTGATTTGGGGATGAGCTTATGCATAGTTGCAATAGAAAACCATATCCACTGCCACCTGTTGCTAGGGGTATTCTGTTGGACTAAATGAGCTGCGTGCTTCCTTCTCATGGAACGCATGCTAGTCAACCTTCCCTTACTCTATCAAAATAAAAAATAATTTGCCTATAGTTTCTTCTTTAAGCTGTTAAAAAAATAATATCTTATACTCACAAAGGTACTTGGCATAAAAAATATAAAACACCACATCCATTCAAGAAGCTCACTCAATACCCTGGATACAAGTGACCCACTGTCTAATCAATTGTCAAAAACAAATGTATATCAATAGGTATACATTTTATTTTAAATATAAGACATCATGAGACAAGTTCTAACAATTACTTTATTACCAGATGTATTTCTGATGCATGTATTTCTTTTAATTTTACTTTTATCATGATTTAGTTTTTATTTATATTTATTTTGGTTTTTCCATAGCAACATTTTTATGCTCATATACATAGAAACATATGTTTTTGTTTACTTTTTATAACTAATATATGTATCCTTTTATATGTATTATGTAGTCCATAAAAAGTGCTCCCCTCCTGGTCGCCTCAACACTGGCGACAGTATGAAATTACTTCCTACTTTTTCATACTATTATGTGCTGCAATCTGTAATATTTTGATATGAATGTTGTGACTATTGACATGTTGCCATTCACTGTCGCTGTCTATCCAATTGCTTGTACTGCCCAACTTCCCAATGTACCACCGCCTCTCTGCCCATTTACTCTATTTAAGATGGCTCTGTAACCCTGGAGCTTAGGTCTTGTAGAAGGAGCCATTGCTCCGAAACGCGTCGCCGCTCCCTTCCTGATGTCAATTGCGTGTATTCCACAGTGGTCCCGGAAGAATGGCAGCCATCTTGACTCCAAACTCCCCCTCCAGCTGCTGGCCGGTACAGCAAGAGGAGAGACAGTGACAGGAGCCCTGCCAGAAATGATATAGAATGAGCCTATTGTAGTACAACTTCTTGTAACCGTATTTCTTAATAAACCACTGGTGTGCTGTACTTGCCTTCATATTTCATATTTCTTGTCAGAGTTTGCTTCTACTCTCAGAAGTGCTGCCTTAATGCTCCCCCCAGCTACCACTTGGACAGTGACTTATAAGCCTCAGCATATGAAGGCCCAATACGCAGAAGCGCCCTATGAACTTTTTTTTTGTATCAGCAACAGGAATGCCAAACACAAAGATGCAAAATAATTTTTTATTTATTAAAATAGCCAGCAGGAATGAATTCTATTCTGACATATTTCAAGCTAGGCACAGCGCTTTCTGTTGGACAAAGTGCTGTGCCTAGTGTGAAATATGTCAGAAAATAATTTGTTCCTGTTGGCTATTTTAAGAAAGAAAATTATTTTGCATCTCAGCGTGTTTCTTTCCTGTTTCTAACACAAGTGATTAGTTCATATGATGTTTTAAAAGCATGACTGAACAGATGCTTAAACCTACCATCCATAGTTTGTCAAACTATGGGTCCCATTTGTAACAGAGAAGGGGATATCTATTATACACTGCAGTAATTCTCCACTCTGCAGCCCACATTTTGCAGCCCATTCACAAAGTGTGAAGTTTGCAGCATGTCACAGAGTTTTCTCCGTTTAACACAGCAAAAAGAACTCCATGGTTGCAGGAGAGGCCTATAGAACTATTTTGAAAGGTCACATGATGGGTCACTTTTTTGACTTTTTTTTGTCACACGCACATACATTTATTTTAATATTTCTCTGCTGTTGTATTTTTTTTTTTAACTGCTTTATACCTGGACCCCTTTGTTTTGAAAAAAAATGTGTTTTTCTTTCCTTAACTCTGATTAGTCTGCATGGTGTTACAATTCAAATTCAAACTTGAGTTTTACAAATATAACTTTTGAATTATTGGACAAATTATTTTCATTTGCTGAGCAACAAATTTAAAATGCAGTTTTCAACATCTAATCGTTACATTCCTTTATTTATTTTCATATTTTATGGTTGCATTAAATTACTTATTTACATTTTTTTTGTTTGGTATTTTTTATTATAGTTTAGTTGTTATTCAATGGAGAACTCTAGATGGGATAACCAAACTTCAGTGTCTACCTTTCTGATTGTTGGACTTTCGGATTCTTTGGATCCACAGATACACCTTTTCTTAGTATTCTTTGGCATCTACCTCGTCACTGTGGTTGGGAACATAGTGATCCTAAGTGTGATTTCCTCTGAAAAACGACTACACACACCAATGTGCTTCCTCTTAGCTAACCTTGCCATTGTTGATATCCTTTTGTCTTCTGCCACCGTCCCCAAACTTTTGTTTATATTGGTCACAGCTCAGAGGTCCATCTCCTACACAGAATGTATTACCCAACTTTATTTCTTCCAATTTTTCATGGTAGTGGAGTGTTATACCTTAGCAGTCATGGCTTACGACAGATATGTAGCAATCTGTTTCCCGCTCAACTACACCCTTATCATGAACACTACAGTTCGGTTTCAGATGGGTTTTTGCCTGTTGGATTAGTGGTTTTGTCAACTCAATAGTCCAAGCAATCTCAATATCCCATCTTAACTTCTGTAGATCCAACAAGGTGGATCACTTCTTCTGTGATGTCACCCCCCTATTCAAGTTGTCCTGTTCCAACACACAAGTTGGTGAGGCTCTCTTCCTGATTGTGGTGGTTGTGGCAGGGTTTGGTCCACTCATATTTATATTTTTGACCTATATCCGGATCATTACTGCAATTACAAAGATTTAGCACCAGTCGGGGAAGGTGTAAGACCTTCTCAACTTGTGCATCTCATTTTATAGTTGTAGCCTTGTATTATGGAAGTGGCATATTTAGTTATATCTGGCCATCCACCACTTTTGCCATAGGTAAGGATGTTAAGATGGTGGCCGTACTGTACACGATCATGACCCCAATGTTGAACCCAATAATTTATAGCCTGAGAAACAGAGAAGTAAAACAGGCTCTGAAAAATGCACTGAAAATCCACAGACTAAAATAAATAACTATGAAAAGCATTGATTTTTGTTTATTTAATTAAAATTAAGTTTAGAAAATTATTGTGAAAATCCATATATATATATATATATATATATATATATAAATATATATATTGTGGCAGTGCGGTATCCTGCCACGGTGAAAATCACGGTGATAACCCAGGATTCTCAACTATACAGGTTGAGGGGCTCCAGGCAGTTCTCTTAATGCAGAAGAAACTGGTTTATCAGTTTCCTCTTTGGTTTGTAAAGCCCGTTTTGGGACCTGTGGCCTGGAGATTTGTAAGAGATTTGGGAGGGATGAAATCTCCAATCCTGGGTCAATGTTTTGAAAGCAGCCAGCACACTGATTGCTCAGGTGTGTGCAGGCCTTTTTGTAGAGGCCTAACCATGATTCTGGGCTCCACCCCGGCAGACAGGAGGTCACTGCCTTGGAGTCAGGTGGGCTTCACCAAGGAGAGGTGGAAGCCAGAGTAGCTGTGTAATAGTGGCTAGCTGTGTGTGAAACACCCATTTTGGAAAGAGTCTGCAGGAGACAGACGTAAATCTGTGTACAAGCCAGGAGGCTGAATATTTGTTGCATTTGTTTGATGGTGGATACCCCTGCGTGGGAAGCATGTTATTGAACTTTCGTTTAAATAAAATTGGGCTAAAAAAGGCCTTTAAAAAAAAAGAAGAACCGAGTGGCTGTGTGCTTTAAATAAAAGCATCAATGGAGGAGAAGGATCTGGGAGTTCTGGTAGATTACAAGCTTAGTCATGCAATGCCAAGCTGCGGTTTCTAAAGTGAGCAAAATCCTCTCTTGTATTAAAAGAGGTATAGACTCCAGAGAGAGATATCATATTACCCCAGTACAAATCATTAGTAAGACCTCATCTGGAATATGCAGTTCAGTTTTGGGCACCAATTCACAAAAAGAACATTGGGGAACTGGAGAAAGTACAGAGATGGGCAACTAAACTGATACGAGGCATGGAGGAGATCAGCTATGAGGAAAGATTAGAGGAACTGAATTTATTCTCTCTTGAGAAGAGGAGATTAAGGAGGAATCAACATGTATAAATACATCAGTGGTTCATTTAGTGAATTCAGTGTAGAGTTTTTCACCCTGAGGTCATTACAGAGGACAAGAGGGCACTCTTTACATCTGGAGGAAAAGAAAGAAATGTAATCTCCAAACACGGAAAGGTTTCTTCACAGTAAGAGCTGTGAAAATGTGGAATAGACTCCCTCAAGAGTTGGTTCTGGCCATCTCGGTGGATTTCTTTAGAAAAGACCTGGATTCTTTCCTAGATACACAGAATATAACTGTATACTAACATTTATAGGTAAAGATGATCCAGGGAATATCCGATTGCCTCTCGGGGGGATCAGGAAGGAATTTTTTTCCCAGCAGGTAAATTTTGGATCATGCTTTGCTGGTATTTTTTTGCCTTCCTCTGGATCAACTGTAGGTATAGGATTATAACTTTTTTTTTTTCTATGTTTGAACTGGATGGACTTTTGTCTTTTTTCAGCCAGACTAACTATGTAACTATGTAATGAGGGGAAGTTAGCATAGGGGACTACATTTTTTTTTGTACATCTTTGCGAAGCCCCTCTTCTGATATGTTCATTTTTTCTCTCTTTAATATGGGATTGACTGTGTTATGCCACTGTAAAAAAGTAGGAGGGCCAGGAGACAACCATCTCTGTACTATGAGTATATGAGCGAGAAACTACAAACACACCAGCAACAGTTGGATAATGGTGAAACTATGTCTTCAGGAATAATGCTCAGGTGTATTTCCTTTATTTTTACCTGGGGATCATGCAATTAACACACTTCCTGTCCTTGGGTAACAATGCTCACTAAACCAAAATCTCAAACAATGTTATCAGCTTTCTCAGCTATCAAAGTAACAGCCCTCTATATCATATATTTTGCAACCTTTTTTCAGTCAAGGCACCCTTTAAAATTATGGACAGTCCCGAGGCACCCCTTAAAAATATGGACACTCCTGAGGCACCCCATTCTAAAATAAAGTGCCTCTAGATTGTTCATAATTTTAAAAGGGATCCCCATTCTAAAATGTGAAAAACTATTCTAATAGTTTTTTATATAACGCAGCAACATCCACACATGTAGTACACCCAACATTAGAGGTGATTTATTCTTCCAAAGCAAATACACTTTTGCACACTGGTACTGACTAGTATTCCAATGTTTCTCTTCTCCCTCACTTTTTCTCTATCACTGAGCAAATGTGACCCCAGCACTGAAGGAGAGGGGTGGGGGGTCCAACTAGAATGCTGTGCAGGCAGCTGACATCCTCATTACTAACTCATGATGTCATTGGTTGTCAGGACTCTGGCGGCTAGAAGGTCGTAATAGTACACAATGAAGACCTGTGGCTTTGTGTAACTAAAAGGCAGGCTTGTTCCACCTGCTGGCTTGTATACAAGTTTTGGGCAATTTTTAGACATTTTGCCAAGGCACCCCTGAAGAAACCTCAAGGCACCCTAGTTGAGAAAGACTGCTCTATATAATTGAGATCAGAGAGGAGGAGGAGGTGTTTGTAGTCTAAATCAGGAGAGCAGCCTAGGGTGACAGCACTGCTCCCCAGTAGATACAGTGCAATAAGTTAGCGTTGTCACCCAAAGACAGTGTGTTATTTGCATGATAACCACTTAAAAAAATAGAGAAAAGGCCTGATGAAAAAAAAGAAAACAAATGCAGACACCCCATTTAAGGAATGGTAAGCTGCAATACATAACATTTTAGTTTTTGCCTTTAAATATACTTAAATCATTTAGAATACTCTTTAGGATAATGCAAAAACAACGTGGATAAACATAAAACACAAATCCCCAAGGTAGGAATCTGCCACACTAACAAGACACAGGGGGGAAGAAAAAGCCATTTAAAACAGAATGCTATTGGACTAGTAATGTGTCACTAACTCACTTCATGGACTGATGCCAATTGATATATTTTGGAGCATCTCCATAAATATCATAGTTTTTATGAACTCTCAACGTCTTTTTTAGAAAATAACTTTGTGATTGCATTGCACACATTTTATGTGGGGTTTTTTTATTTAAGGTAAGTTATCTCCCAAGTATGAGCCTCTGATGACCTTTAAAACTTTGCTTTCCTAAAAAAAGTACAGGTGGATACTGCAGGGTTGAACATTGCTATTAAACATCCCTTTTGCATTACATGAAAACAAAACTGAGAAAATTAGACAAAAAATTAAATATATATATATATATATATATATATATATATATATATATATTATATGAGCTACGCAACCTATTTTGTACTTTCATGCTATAAAAAATGGCTGCCATAGGGGGGTTTTTTTGTTTGTTGTTTTCCTTTTTTTTTTATTGCAATTAAAAAAATCCTTTTTTACTTTGATGTCAACATGGTTTATTTCTTTGTATAATGTCTTTTTTAAATTACTTTTTCACTATTAATTTTAGTTTACAAGTACAAGCATGTATTATTACACGCACATAAATAAAAGAAAAAAATGAAAGAGAAAGAAAAAAAAAACTTCTTTTAAATAAAAATGACCTATCAATTTAACCACTTGCCCTCCTGAGGATTTACCCCCCTTTCTGAGCAGGCCATTTTTTGTGATACGGTGCTGTGTTATTTTAACTGACAATTGCGCGGTCATGCAATGTTGTACCCAAATTAAATTTGCATCCTTTTTTTCCTACGAATTGAGCTTTCTTTCAGTGGTATTTGATCACCTGTACCAGTTTTATTTTTGTGCGCTATAAAAAAAAGGCTGAAAATTTTGACAAAAAACCTATATTTTTTACTTTTTGCTATTAAACATGTCCAGTACAAAAATAAAAAAAAATCTAATTTCATCATAAATTTAGGCCAAAATGTATTCTGTTACATATCTTTGCTAAAACAAATCCCAATACATGTAAACAAATTGTTTTACGTGAAAGTTATAATGTTTACAAATGGTGGTATATATACGGGGATTATTTTTTTTTTTATTAGTAATGGCGGCGATCAGCGACTTATAGCGGGTGGTGTTTTACTAGGGGGCACTACTGTGTCCATGTGCTTCACTGTAAGCACAATGCTTTGGATGGTTGTGCTGTGCATCCAAAGCAGTGTGCCCGAGCTGACAGGGAAGAGAACTGTTAGTAAACAAAACAGTTCTCCTCCCCGTTGGAGATCCTCGTTAATCACTGTAATTACTGGTCGGGACCCGGTGATTGACAGCCGTGGCAAAGAATGGTGGTGCAGGTAGGGCTCTTGTCGCCTCACGTGCGCCACCTACCCAGAAATGTGAAATCACATGTATATCTATACGATTTTGCAAAGCCGTGACGCCCTGTAGAAGTGGTTACAGTGGACCTTTTAGTCATTTTACTAGTCTGCATGAATTAACTCTTGACATATACAGGGTCAGTGCCCTAGGTAAGACCAGCTACTTGTGCCCCCCCCCCCCCCCCCCAAAAAAAGAAAAAAAACATTTAAAAAACAGTAGAAAATAATAAATCAACAAAACATGAAACTGCTGCATTTCTTTTAATTTGCAAAAATAAGTGCATAAGATGCCACCAGCACCAATATTAAAGAGAAAAATATATATTAACCAAATATAAATGAACTGTATTAACCAATTAGACAGAGAAACAAACAAAAAAAAGAGACAGAGTTACAAAAACTCCACAGTGATCAGCAGCCGCCAGCTGGCTTGCAGTAAGGGACTGAGTCTGAGAGTAACACTGGAAGGAGTGGCAGCTCAGCTGCTTCACTGGCTACAGACACCCGGCATTTTCCTCTGTCCTTTCTTCCCCCCCCTCCTGCTGCCCCTCCACTCAGCTGAAAGATCACTCAGGACGTGGGGGGTTCCCACACGTTCAATCAACATCTGCTCCTCTCACAGCGACTATTGTCCGCTCCTGTTGCCTCCATGATCTGCTATCCTCCTAGGCTTGGCTCACATCTGATGGCTCCTACCTGGGTGTGGAGTCCAGGCTGTGGCTCTCAGTGAGGACAGGTGGCCTCCAAAACATCTTCCCTCTTATACACATGGGCCCCGATCATCCTACTCACATAGGTTTAACCCTGAAACCAGAGCACACTATTGATTGGCTCCAGCTATGTAGAAGAAGGTGGAGCCAGAACTAGACACGCCCCATTCCATCACTAGTCGGCTCCCTGTTATAGCTGGATTATCATGTGTGCCAGTGTATGTACCGGAGATGTACAGACTGATCCTTCGATCAAAGACTGCTGACTGCCCAGGGTCCTGGGCTAATATCTTCACTTCCCATTCTAGGGGAAGCCGACACTTCACTGCTACATGAAATATTGTCATGTGTATATATGTACTAAATGGTCATCATTCCCTCATCATTCTCTGTGTATGAGGACTGTGTATGAGGAAAAATTCATACAAGAGGTTTATAGGCCACACAGAGAGAGTGCTGCACCCAGGCACCCCTAGGTGGCAGTGTGCCCTAGGCAGCTGCCTACCACTATTAAAAAAAATTACCTCACTTCTCCTAGTGTGATCACTCAGCCTGTACATTGTAACACTACAGCAAGCCATAAGGGAAAGAATTATTCTGTGAGACATTTAGAAACACAGCCACGAAATGAGTAATTCTCCAAGTTATTTGTATATGGGTCAAAGGCTAGAACTCCACCTACACCAGGGTTACTGATCCATCATCTCAATTCAAGAAATAAGTTCCCCATAGTCTACGGCTGATATAAAAATACATTGTTTGAGAAGTAAATCTGAGGGCCTACCACCATCTGTGCCTAACCACTGGTTAATGAACCCTCCTAATACAAAATTAAGTCCTGCTAGATCACTTTGGGATTCCCCCTTTTGCAGGCATAGCTATGCAAAACATTAAAAATAAGTGCCTCTACTTTTTAACTGCTTCCTGCGTGAGCCATTGTAAAATTACGGCCGGGCGGGGAGCCCTATTGTTCTGTGAGGATATCATATGACGCGCCTTACATGGGTCTGGCAGGCCACGCTTTGGCATGATCTGTCACCCGCTGTGTGCTTTGCTTCATGCCATTCATTGTGTACAATTGTAACGATAGCTGTGATTAGCCACAGTAATCACATGGTACAGACAGGGCCAATCATAACTCATCTGTAACATGTGATTAGCTGTGGCCAATCACAGTTAATCACAACAATATACATCAGGGGTCTCCAAACTTTCTAAACAAGGGGCCAGTATACTGTCCTTCAAACTGCAGAGGGGGCCGGACTGAGGTCAGTGGGAGTAGAAATTACCCTGTGTCAAAGGGACTAAACAATGCCCCAACGTTGGTGTCAGTGGTAGGAATACTGCCCCATAGTTGGTGTCATTAGGAGGAATTGTGCCCCTTCATTGGTGTCAATGGAAGGAATAGTGCCCCATCGTTGGTGTCAGTGGGAAAAAATTGTGCCCCTTCATTGCTGTTATTGGAAGGAATTGTGCCTCATTGTTGCTGTCATTGGGAGGAATTGCACCTCATTTTTGGTGGCAGTGAGGGGACCTATGCCCAATTGTTGGTGTCAATGGGAAGACACAAGTCCAATTGTTGGTGTCAGTTAATGGAATAGTGCTCCAAGGACCAGATAAAAACAAGCAAAGAGCTGCAGTTTGGAGACCACTGATATAAACCAAATGAAATTGATTGTGTTAAAAAAAAAAATCCTGATCACCTCCCCAGAGTAGTACAATGTTACTATGGTAACACTGTATTGCTCTGGTCACAGTATGTAAAAAAATGTATAAAAGAAAAATATTTTTAAAAATGAAAAAAAAAGTATTACTTTTTTTTTTTACATAATGCCACCAGTCAGTGTCCCTACTCTCTGCCATACCAGTTATATGGTGACATTGTACTGCACTGGTCACCGTATATAAAAATAAAAAAAGTGAAAAAAACTAATTTTTTTGATTACTTTATTTTCCAAAATTGTGACAAAAAAATTACAACTTAAAAAAACACAACATGCCTCTTACTAAATACATTGGGCTGTCTATTTTCCAAAAAGGGGTAATTTTTGGGATATTTGTACTGTTCTGGCATTTTAGGACCTCAAGAAATGAGACCAGCCATCAGTACTTCAGGATTGATCAATTTTCAGATATATCCCATAGTTTGTGGACTCTATAACTTTCCTACAGACTTAATAATAAACACTGATTTGAGTTATTTTCCTCAAAGAAATGTAGCAGAATACTGGGTTTTTCTGCCTTCCTCTGGATCAACTGTGGGTATAGGAATTATAACTTTTTTTTTAACGGTTGAACTGGATGACCTTTTTTGTCTTTTTTTCAGCCAGACTAACTATGTAACTATGAATATGTATTTGCTGTGACTTTAGATCTCCTTTAGGAAGGGAGTATCCTTATACACTGACTAGTTGTACATAGAGAGGGGACAGGCATGTCCTTGACTTCACTTCACAAAATGTGATATCTGCATACCTGAACTCTCCATGTCTTTGGGGTCCTGATCAGGGGCGGACTGACAACTCATGGGGCCCCCGGGCAATAGGGGATCATGGGGCCCCTGTGTCCTTGCCCAAACTCAAAAAAGCCTATGAAAAAGGTACCAGAGGCATCTCATGGGGCCCCCTGCTGACCCCGGGCCCTCGGGCAGTGCCCGAGTTTCCAAATGGTCAGGCGCCCCTGGTCCTGATTAACTTAGGAGAACATTGCAAGATTTCAGTTCCACATGGATCTGCTTTTCACTAACTTTGCAGATTTACAATTTTATTATACAAAGGAATCTTCTAAATTTCTTTCTTCAGTCCTGTGCATATAATGAGACCATCCCATAAAAAAACTCTGAAGAAAATATTTAGACAAAAAAACAATGACTGCCGCAGCACAGGCATGGTGATAGAATAGTTCCATTAACTGCTTCCTGACCGCCCTAGAGAAGAAATACTGCTACAAGGTGACACAGGTGTGCAAAATCACGTATATATACGTGATTTTGCACACCCATGCAAAATCATGATTTTGATAGTATAGTACCTTTTATTTACTCTACTAAAACGATATAGAGTGTGTTAGAGGGGCTGACAGGTGTTTACATTAGAGTTTCTTGTGCTAATGGCGTTTATTTGCTCTATTTATTATTGATATTTTTCACTTATTTCACTTCACTTTGATCGAGGGAATATTCGATTGCCTCTCGGGGGATCAAGTAGGAATTTTTTTTTCCCAGCAGAAGCAAATTGGTGGGGGTTTTTTGCCTTCCTCTGGATCAACTGTGGGTATAGGATTATAACTTTTTTTTCTATGGTTGAACTGGATAGACTTTTGTCTTTTTTCAGCCAGACTAAGCTATGTACCTTATTTAATATTAATTTTACATGCACTAGGTAGGCTGATGGCTTTTTTTTTTATCAGTACATATATTAATTTGATTTTGTATCATTATTTTGTTATTTACACAATTATTGATTAGTAATATATGTGCATTTAGCAGTGCAGCACAATTTTTTTTATTGTACTTTGTTGGATCTGAAAACACATTAGGGTGTCTGCAGCAGCTCTATTTTTTGTGGAGTATTTGTGGCAGCACAGGAGATTTAACCCCCATTTTTTTTTTAAAACAAACTAATTTCCAGTTTTGGCTCCACACCAGAAATGACGTCACATGGCTCCTTCCGATGCGTTGCATCACTTGCTTCTTCAGGGAAAGCAGGGAATTACATAAGGAAAATATATGGAAAATTATATATTCTGTTCGTGGTTATAGCATCACAGTAGTTGAAAATTGAAAAGCAACAAGTGTTTAATGGTCCCACAATAGCAGATTGTATGAATATACATTTGTTTTGAAACACTAAGCAACCCATCAAGCTACATGTATTAATATTGACAAGGTCGTACATAACAAATATAACAAAAGCTAACACAACAAAAGTGGAATCCTGAAAAATCCCTTAAAAGAGCATTGTGGAGCAGAGGTCCACAGAGGCGGGGGGGGGGAGTTAATATTATTCGAATTACAAATTTCGGAATGTGGAAATTCTAATGAGGAGTATCTATTTGTCTTCCATTTAGTACTGGTGATTTGCATGCACTATGAATGGGTTATTGGTTATGTCAAATATAAATTTTATTTCTATATTTTCAGCTGTCAATTTCCAATGAACAAAATCAACGAGTCAAGGGTCACAGAATTTTTCCTCTTGGGCTTGTCCCATAGTCAAGACCAGAAAATGCCATTCTTTGCTCTTTTCTTTATAATGTATCTAGTAACAATCTTGGGTAATGCTCTTATAGTAGCTGTGATAGTCATAAGCAAGGAACTGCACAACCCAATGTATTTCTTTTTAGGAAATCTTTCTTTTGTTGACATTTGTTTTAGCTCAGTAACGGCTCCTCTTATGTTGACCAATCTTCTCTGGGATCAGAAATCTATTTCCTTTGAAGGATGTATGAGCCAGTTATTCTTTCTGTTTTGTACAGCGAGCATGGAGTGTTTTGTCCTGGCAGTTATGGCTTATGACCGTCTAGCTGCCATCAACAACCCTCTACACTACTTATCCATCATGCACAGAACAATGTGTTTGGCTCTAATAGTCTTTTCATGGGTATTTACATCTTTACATTCTCTGCTACATATATCTATTGTTTCTTCAATGAGGTTTTGTGGTCCAAACAAAATCCATGAGTATTTCTGTGACCTTCCTCCCTTGCTGGCCCTCTCTTGCTCTGACACATCACAATATGACCTCCTGGTGTTCACTGAAGGCTCATTTGTAACCATGAGTCCCTTTGTATTTGTAGTTATCTCCTACTGTCGGATTCTCAATACCATCTTGAAAATACAGTCATCCATTGGAAGGTACCAAGCGTTCTCCACATGTTCCTCCCACCTCACTTCTGTTGGACTTTTCTTTGGCACCATCTTCTTTACTTATTTCCGTCCATCTTCCTCAGATTCATTGGAAGAAAACAGATCAGTGACAGTGGTGTACTCTGTTCTTACACCTCTCCTCAATCCTTTTATATATAGTTTGAGGAACCAGCAAATTAAAGCTGCTGTGAATAAGATCTATCATCAGATTTTTAGACTAGATGTGAAAGATGCAAGTAGAAAAAAATTATCATAGCATGTATACATAGCAGTCCTACAGATCATCTTCTCTATGTAGCTTTTCCAGTTATGCACTATGGATGAGGTTTTGGTTCACCACTACCATGGGTTTGAGGAAAATCTTCCAGGTTCTAGATTCACAGTCACTGCAAATTTATGTGCAGATTTGCCCAGGAAAATTTTTGAAAACCATAATGTGCTGCATGACCTTTGAACTATGGCCAACAGGATTAGAAGAGCCAATAAGGGGGCTTTTGGTTAAGCCGGACCTATCACAATGAAAGGGCATAAAGCAGCCATGGTGTCAGTTTTTGGAAGCAAACTGACAAATTAAACAAGGAAAAAATTAGGAATCAGTTTGAAAACTGTTGAAACAAAATGGTGAAAAACTCCTGCGCCAACTAAAGTGCATGTAAGTCCAAAGGTTCACATACTTTTTCCTCCCTGCACTGTGAATGTTTACATGTTATGTGCAATTAAACCATGGCAACATCTAATGTTTGTGTAGTATTATGTTCAGCAGACTGTGTTCTTCTATTGTTGTGACTTAGATGACATTCAGAGCACATTTTATGCCCAATTCATGCAAAACTCCACGTAATCCCAAGGGGTTCACATATTTTTTCTTGCAACTGTATGTGATATATGGACTGATTTATTGAAGCCCTACTTTTATATTTAGTTGTTACGATATATTGATTTGAATATTTTTTTTGCACAGATGTTATATATTTATGTTCACATGTTTGAGTAAGCAGCGCTACATCATTCATTTTTATATCGTTTGAAAACTGTGCTTCTGATTGCTAGCCTTTTGGGCCATCTGTTTCTTTGCTGCTTCTTTTGCGAACTACTGAGGACATTTTTGCCTTTTATTTTATTTTACTGCTGGCCTTATATTTTGTTGTTGCAAGGATATCCTAGAGAGAAAAATAAATGGGTGTTTATTTCAGGGTGTGTGATTTTAGGGTTTTCATTATTTTGGGGTAAACTGTGTTTTGTTTGTTTGCGGCAAGGCTTCAATTTGAGAAAAGTAGGAAGGAAAGAGCGCCTGGTGTCCAAAAGAATGCCAATTAGAAGATAGGTTAAAACATGTTTTATTGTTTATTTACTGCCACTCTGTCATTCTATTCCTTACCCTGAAGAAGGTCCTTTCCCCCTGAAACGCATTGGAACGATAAAGTTGTCATTACTATCAATAAACCCTTTTTAACATATCTTCTAGTTCACATTCTTTTGTACACTGGGCGCCAGGGGCGGACTGACAACTCATGGGGCCCCCAGGCAATAGGGGATCATGGGGCCCCTGTGTCCTCACCCACACTCAAACCACACCCAAAAAAGCCTATGAAAGGTACCAGGGGCATCTCATGGGTCCCCCTACTGACCCCGGGCCCTCGGGCAGTGCCTGAGTTCCCAAATGGTCAGTCCGTCCTGCTGAGCGCGCCTTGCTTCCTACTTTTCCAGTCTGCATGTGGAAACGACCGTAAGGCCGTGCCAAAAAGGCAGCAACCCAAACCCGGAGAGGTTTCATTGCCATTATCTAATACTAAGTGATAGTTTCTTAAGCAGGACAATCTCTCATATGTGAGGACAAAAGCCTTGCAAATGTTCATAAGTTTTTCAGCTTGTACAAAATCCACATCAAGCTTGTTTAATTAAGCTTTGGTAATAAAACCTGGAAGCTGATTGGTTTCTTTACAGAGTTGGACCAGATTTTCTACTCTTCAGTTTTAGTAAATAATCCCCACTGAGTGTTAATTTGTGTACTAATTCATTCTTTATTCTGATGTTGGTTCCCAGCTTGCATCTTGGTGTTCTGTGCTTTTTCATTCTATTCCTGTTTATTGTCCTTCATTTTTTTTAATTTAAAGTGATACTATATCATGAAAAACTATCAATAAATGCTGTATTATATGCTGTTTATACTCTGTCACTATGAGATTCATTTTCTGTATTCTGCAAAAAAAAACCTAGTTGATCCTGCTGCTCTATATCTCCACCTTCTGTTCATGTCCCCAATTCAGCTAGGGATTTTGCTGCTGTAGTGGCAACTCTAGACATGCTCAGTTTGCAGTGAGTTTCTATGTTGAGCAGTCCATGTGACTATAAAGTCACACATTTGGGCATATACACAGTGGTAAATGACAGCCCACTCCCTCCCTCCTCCTCCATGCTCACTAAAGCTAAACACAATGGGGAATGTAGATTAATGGAGGAATCACCTCCCTCTTATTCTAAGACACAGGCTGGAGGGGTGTGACACTGGCAGAAATCTGCCCACACCATATTATTTCCACAAAATAATACAGACTTGATTTTAAATATACACAATTGTATGCCAATTTAACAGTTTATTGATATTATTTTTTTTATTTTTACTCAGTATTCCAATTGGGCTCAAGGTTAATAAATATTTAGGGGGGGAACAAACATCTTTTCATTGTGTTTTTGACGCAGACACTGGTACCGGTAGTAGGCATGCTGCAAGCAGCTGTCGAGCAGTTAGTAGTGTGAGATGCAGGTACCTTTTACAGCAGGACTGTCCCAGACCCTATGTCTAGAATCAAACATGTTCCATCTGCGTGGTTGCAAGGCAACCTAAGGCTCAGGATGTGAGAGAAGGACTCAGATACTCATGAAACCCAAACAGCTGGTAACAGATGAGTGTTGGATGGCTGGAGGTGACCAAAGTCCACCTTCGGCCCATTTACCTGCTGACCGAAGATCAGAGTTTCATGCAGCTCTTTGCAAGCAGAAGCAGCAGCTGGGAGGTGCTTCCTTGATGCTTTATGACAAGAAAGGGAGCTCAGAGCAACAGAGTAGATAATGGCACCACCCTTCCCACAGTCATAACCAGCTGGAAACATGGAATTTAAATACTCTCAGTGACCAGTGTAAAAAAAGGTTGCTCCTGGTGCTCAGTCTGACCAGCCTATTCACAAAGTGAGTCTTTAAAAAAAGCAACAGTAGCCGCTCTGGACATGGAAAGTGCTCCTTTGGAGAACCCAACGTTCGAATGGTCACTTCCTGGCTACCAAGCTTCTCCAATTGTACCTCTCACTTTCATTCAACTTTTCTTTGAAGTTCTCTTATTTATGCCCTCTCTCCTCCTCAACTTCAGTGAAGGAAATTAGATCAGTGACAGTGGTGTACTCAGTTCTTCCTCCCCTGCTATATATATATATACATACATACAGTGGATATAAAAAGTCTATATACCACTGTTAAAATATCAGGTTTCTGTGATGTAGAAAAATGAGACACAGATAAATAATTTCAGAACTTTTTCCACCTTTAATGTAACCTATAAACTGCACAACTCAGTTGAACAACAAACTAAAATGTTTTAGGTGGAGGGAAGTAAAAATAAAAAACTAAAATAATATGGTTGCATAAGTGTGCACACCCTTAAACTAATTCTTTGTTGAAACACCATTTGATTTTATTCCAGCACTCAGTCTTTTTAGGTATGAGTCTATCAGCATGGCACATCTTGACTTGGCAATATTTGCTCACTCTTCCTTGCAAAAACACTCCAAATGTGTCAGATTGCGAGGGGATCTCCTGTCACAGCCCTCTTCAGATCACCCCATAGATTTTCGATCTGATTCGGCTCTTGGCTCTGGCTGGGCCATTCCAAAACTTTAATCTTCTGGTGAAACCATTCCTTTGTTGATTTGGATGTATGCTTTGGGTCGTTGTCATGCTAAAAGATTAAGTTCCTCTTCATGTTCAGCTTTCTAGCAGAAGCCTGAAGGATTTGTGCCAATATTGACTGGTATTTGGAACTGTTCATAAATCCCTCTACCTTGACTAAGGCCCCAGTTCCAGCTGAAGAAAAAGTAAGAAAAGGCTTCCGTCTTGCCACTCTACCCCATAGCCCAGACATATGAAGAATACGGGAGATTGTTGTCACATGTACCACACAACCAGTACTTGCCAGATATTCCTGAAGCTCCTTTAATATTGCTGTAGGCCCTCTTGGCAGCCTCCCAGACCAGTTTTTTTCTCATCTTTACATACATTTTGGAGGGACGTCTTGTTATTGGTAATATTACAAAAAGACCTCCTGCGCTTATATGGAATCCTAGCCTCAGAGAAAGCTGCTGGCACTAAACTTATACCCAAAATAAGCGAATAAACAATTAAATAAACAGTGCAGCGCTAATAAATAATACATAAAAATATCCAGTGAATGAAATACATAAACTCAATATATACCCCCTCAAATTATATATGACTAAATGGTAGTGTCATGCGTGTAATCCCTCATAGGGAATATACAGTGCAATAAGTGACAAATATACTCATAAAACAATATAGTGGCAAACAACGTACAGTGCTCAAAGTAAGTGAACCAATATTCAAAAACAAAAAGGTCCAAACAATCAATAAAAATGCAAGACTTTGTGGTGGTCTTCCCACTCCACTCTTCATGCAAGAATAATGTGCAGTGGGCATGATTCACACGTGCCAATCCTTTAACGGCTAAAATGCCCCCTCACCTCCTTACTTAGACCCCACAGGGCCAGCACGCTTTAAGGATCAAACGATCCTATCAGAATGGATTTCTCTCTGGGTTTCACTTTCCACCTCTAGCATCCACCAGGTTAGCAGTCAGCTCCTCCTTACTTAGACCCCACAGGGCCAGCACGCTTTAAGGATCAAACAATCCTATCAGAATGGATTTTCTCTCTGGGTTTCACTTTCCACCTCCAGCATCCACCAGGTTAGCAGTCAGCTCATAAGTAACGATTTCATCCAGCTTCCTACCGCATGCTATGGGTGTACTGCATGGGTAATACAAACAGGGTGATCCAATATGGCCCCCACGCCGGAAATGACGTCACTGCGTTAAACAAAGCTC